GGCAGCATAGCAAATTAGACGGCTGTCCTACCTAAAATAAAACTCAGCTGCAATCTTTTCCATCCTAAAGCACAGAGAATTCATTACTCAAATGACAAGGCAATTTTAAATATGAGAAGATATTAAAGCACTCGTTAGCTGCCTCTGTACAGCTGCAGTGTCGGTCAGGTGCTAAGGAAGGACGCACCCATCCACACAGGCACTTCTGAGCCATGCTGAGGAGTGCATCTTATTTACAACACAGTGTGCCATGCCACAGGAAGGACAGCCGAGATCAGCTTTGTTATACTAACGCAGCATGGGGGGATCTGGGCTCTTAACAGATGGGATTAAGAGCAGGCAGTCAGTATGCGATGCTGAGCGTTTGGTTGGGTTTTATGAAGCTGAAGAGAAACTTTACAAGTTTTGGGTTTATAATTATGGCAGTGGATCAGTCTGCAGAACAGAGGCCTGCTCAATATTACATAGCAGGTTTGATTTCAAGCGCATCACTCTGCCACTCCTGAGCTTGCCCAGGTGAAGTCAACAGCACCCTGAGAACACACCCCAGTATGCCAAGAGGGAATGGCCACAGGCACTGCCAATGCCATGGATGGGGATTTAGCCCTACAGGACACCCACAGACACAAGCGAGCAGGGAGAGCTGAATGGTGCTGGGGGGCTCTGTGCTCCAAGGATGACTCGAAGGGCCCCATTGCATGGCTGCCCACAAACTGCCTCTGCCCTGAAACTCAGAAGTCAAGCTCAGCCTGTCTTCTTTATTCAAATGGGAGCCCCGTTCCGAAGGGCCATCTTTTGCCTGGGGACAACAGGCTTTCCCTTTAGTTAATGGAAAAGAGGAGGCTTCTCTAGAGGGCGAATTGGAGCTGGAGCCTCAGCCAAAGTGCCCTGGAGGCAGAGCTGGGTCTCCACTGACTGAGCGGGGCTGTGGGAAGCAGGTCTCCAGGTGATCAAATTAGTCTTTGTGGCTGCCTCACTCCCTAATTGCCATTAGATACACCAAGTAATGAACAACGTGCAGCATAACAAAAGGGAGCACAGATAGAAAAAGGAGAAAAATTAGCCTGAGATAATTGGTGGTCTTGGCCAACTGTAATCACACACCTTTTAAGAAGAGGGCTACAAAGAAATACCCAGCTCCAAAAGACACTGCAGAACCTAACAGTGAAATGACTTTGTCTTGGTATGTGCACATCAGGAGATGCATGCTGATGGTATTCTGCCTGGTCCAGTTCCCAGACCATTGAGAGTCCCAGTGATGGCAACCCAGTGGGTGGCAGGCTAGGACCTGAATGGTTCTCTCAGCAGCTCAGTTAATATGAATTCGCCCCATCTTACACATGAGTTCTGACTGAACCATCCTTTGCCCCTCTGAGAGGGTTTTGCCATTTCATTTTATTTAAAAACAGGTCATTTGGAGCTTTATGAGCACATGCAAAATGTCATTAACCACAATTTTCCTGCAATGTGGGTGTCTAGTGAGCTTGTGGAGTAGCTTTCTCAATGAAAACCAAGGAGTGACAGCAATGTGCTTTGCACTGTCAGTGTAGCTTTAAGTTAAGAAGAGCCCAACCTTTAAATATAATTTACAGCTCTAAGTAGGGAATTTTTCAGACCTTAGGGGTAATGACACCTACATTTTTCCTAGGTTTCATAGGCACTGCATTTTAAATACTTGGACAGTTCCAAAACTAAATCTGTGTGATAAAGAGGCGGGTGCAGCTCCCTCTGGAAGAAGCAGAAAAGTACACAAGCCCATTTCTCAGGCACCCAGCAGCCATCCGGATTTCCCACACCCTCCCATAGCTTCCCACAGCCTGGGGAAGGCTCTGAGTTGCAAAATACCCCATCACCACTTCACCACAACAGCACTTTTTAAACTGTCTTTTCCTACAAAATATGGTCCTCTCACTGAAGCTAACAGTAATAAGAGAATGAAATATAAAAGTTTATCACACCTTTATCACCAAAAGTTTTCTTGGAACATCGTTAGGGCTGAAGGAAGTACTTTGTAGAAGCATATAGCTGCAACAGGATTCAAATTCTATTTGAGCCAGTTAGATACCAAAACACTTTTTATCCATGAAATACTTACAGTGAAAGACAGCTGAAAGTTTTACTCACACTGCTGCCATCTGAGCTGAAGAAACCCCAAGCATCTGTTTCCTTGTCCCTGAGGAGAAGTGGCAATGATAGCAGTGGTCACAGGCTGGCAGCTATTAGGGACCTGCTGGATACAGGTGCTCAAGTGAGCCAGAAAAGTGCATTAATATCTATCTGGAGTGCCATCAAGAGCTATCAGATGATAGCCAACATACCTGGCAGTTAAAATTCTAGTTGGATCTTCATTTAATCCTATAAAAGGATGTGTTATTTCAAGAGATGTTCTTCAACTGTATTGCCTTCCAAGAACATGTACCTTTAATCACTGCCTGAGAACATTTACCAGTAAGGACTTCTGGTGCCACAAATAACCTCATACACAGTTCTTAAAAAGGGCATTTGTTTTTTTTCCAAGGAGCCTGGCCACTCTTTGGAGAAGAAATTGTCCCTATGAGATCAGCAACACCACATCAAAACTAAACCTCTCTGTTTCTAAGTTCTAAAGAGGAAAAATTCAAAACAGACACAACAAACACTTCGGTTTAAAATCCTGTCTAAAACTTTGAAAGTGATATGTAGAATTACTGCTGAAACAGTCATGGGTAAAGCCTTAAATCTGTCCCGAGATAGACAAAGCCTAGCATGGCATTGCTTCTGTTAGAGTCAAGACTAGGCTAGTTTTGGAGTGAAAGTGAGGACAAAACCAAAAATAATCCACACAAGGGCATTTCTTAGACTGTCCCCAAAGGCTGATAGGATCTCTTTTGGTAAGAAACATCATTTTCTGTTGGATCTCAACACACAGCCAGTTGCTCTTTATGGGCTACAAATAGAGGCCTATTTCTTTATGGTGGCCATTAGCTGCTCCACAAAAAACAAACACAAAGCAGTTACTTTGCTGCAGACTGGAGCTCAAATTAATAAGCCTGAGCAGCTGCGCACACAGACAGCTCAGCTAGACATTGCTACAACATCCAGGTACCTTATTTTTTCCACTAACTAAAATATCCCCAAATTTCATTACCTCACTGATACAAATTCCCTCTGAAGGGAAGTGCCACATTCACTTGTTTCAGCTAGTCAAGAACAAGGAAGCAATTTCTCATCCATCTAGCACACAAGCAGAGTGTCACTGCAGGATTAGATGAAGACATATCTGAGAGTAAGCATATTCTGACATTGCTCTGCTGTATCTGTAGCCACAGAAAGCCTCTGCTCTGGATGTATATCCATCTGCAGGTCTGTTACCTAATTAACTAGCTGTTGGTTTCTGTTATTCCAGAAAAAGCAGTGTTGATCTTTACCTCAGGACTTTGATATATCTTCAGGCCAGAAATTACTGCCTTGAGTAACCATGGAACGATACTAAAGATGAAAAAGAGGTACAGACACTTACAGGCACTGGATCTCCAATGCAGATGAAAATTTTCAGATGGGAGCACAAAAACCCACAGGGCTACATGGCTCACCTGGAAGGTACAGCAAAAGCCTCAAGAGCTCAAAGCATTCTCTCCTTATTCATACTCACATTTCACACTGAAGGCCACCAAGCCAAACCAGCAGAGCTCGCTGTGATCATGCAGTCAGGACAGGCAGTCCAGGGAAAAACTCTTTACAGCACAGTAATGTATGTGTGAAAGCCAAGCAGAAGCTGTGCAGGAACGTGAAGGTCTAAGCAGAAGCATTCTTTCAGATGGATCAATAGCAAGCAGGATACACTTACAAGCACGTAAGTGATTCTGCAGGAGTATAAAGCCAAAGAAAATGAGAGTTCTCTGCAACAGAAGATACATACATTAATGCAGTGGCACATACATACACACAGCAGTGCCCTCCAACCTTGCTACCACATTCAGCATTTCGCTCTTTGCACACTGTCATTTATTAGTGTGCACCATCTCCCCCCTTCTCTGCCAAGATTGAGTCATCTTCAGCAGAAAATTGAGCTAGAAGATAATCGCCCTTTCTCCCATTATAACATCCAATACTAGGAAAAACAGGGTAGGAAGTGATACTACATCAATGCTATCAAGAAAATCTCTCTTTTAGCACAACTTTCAACTAGTATAGCATATAAACCTATAGCAGTGCCTTCGGTACTAAAGTTTTTTTTCTTTAAACCTCAAAACGTGCACCATCATGGTTATGGGTTTCTGACACACTGATCCACTCTACACCAACTTCAAGGGGTTACAAACATTAAATTACTTTGTCCTGTTTCCCTTCTCTGAATAGTTTCAAAATAAATAAATAAATAAATGGGGAATACTTCTAAGCAGCAGCCAGTAGGGGCTGACACAGGATTAGGTTCGTAAAATTCACATTCCCAAGTCTGTTTTGCATTAGGCAGACTGAAAGCCAAAGACTAAGCACAAGAGCCAGGACCCAACACAAATGCAGTAAAATTGGTATGGATCTGAACAACTCCAAGATCAGTAGCCCAGATCTAATGCTTCAGTTGTTGCTGGGACAACACAAGGCTGCATGAGCTGGAATTCCGGATGATCACAAATGCTAAACCAAAAATCCAGTGACACATTTTGTGAGAGGTTCCTCACATGTGGGAGGCTAAAACTGAAACTGCAGGAAACACATCTCAGGCCTACAGTGATAAATGCAATAGACAACAGATCTCACAAACAAGAACTCACCCAAAGGGTTGTTTTCATCCTCAAAGTTCCAACAAATGTCAGAATGTGGAATCCATTTGCCTTTCCCTTTCCATTTGTCCATAGAAATGCCTGTAACTCCTCAAAAACTACGTAAAGAAGTAGATTCTCAACTCTGCTCTCAAAAATTAACTGCTGAAGCTGGATTTTCTTTCTGCATGTAATATGGTAATAGAAGTGAATGCACATTCCTACTTATTTCTAAGAATACAAAACACAGGAGACTCAAATTTTTTACGAATTTAATGAATTACAAATCTTCTCAGTAAAATGAACTTATTTTAAAAAACATTTCAACATAGTTTTGCTAATAAATCTATAGGTTTTTTTTTTAAAAAAAGAATATTTACAAAACTTCAATGAAAAATAAGACTTAAGCACATGAAACTATGAAATAGCTTACATAAGTAAAGTAGCATGGCTTCCTGACTGCTGTACTGATCAAAAGAAGAAGGGGATAAATACTATTAGAAAGGATTTATTTTTATATTTGCCATTCTGCACAAGCACCCCATGGTTTAAGAACCGCTATACAGGCAAATCTACTAAGAACAGGTATCTATGCTGTATCTGTAAACACATCAAGTGAAGCACTTTTGTAACATCACGATTGCTTTACAAAACCTGAATTTAAAATCCGAGTGCAAATCAATTCATGTTAAAAACTTGTTCAATCACTGAATTGTTTTAAAAATTGCTTCTGAAACTGTGAAGGCTATTTTCTGGTTCTTGCACTTGTTCTAGTGCTCGATCTTGTTCTCCTGTCTGTTCCTCCAGGATTCTGAGTTGCTTTTACACCCCCTCTGTCAAGTTCTTCTTTGGCTTTGTTTCTTCTTCCTCTTTTGGGTGATCTGTTTTCATCATTATCTATTTGTAGACAGAAATGTCAATTGGAAATTTATATTATAAATGAAACATTTCATACAAAGTCAGTCTTCAGTCACATTGTTTTTCAACATGTCCCCAGTGACTACATTCCAAAGATTACATCCATGAATTCAACAAACCAGCTACGAAACCCACACTTCTGCACATCCAATATCCTTTAAGATAGATCCCCATGGACTTGCAGCTATTTCGGAAAGTAGGTTAGCATTAATGAGAGCACCAAAACCAATTAGCTACCATTTCAGCTAAAATTCCTTCCACCAATATGCAAAACTAAAATATATCCAATGCTGGAGAAAAATCCAGCAAAAATGTATTTATAGGAAGAGTTGTATGGTACACCTACAGCTAAGTCAGGCTTTTAACTATAAACAAAAGACTGGATAGCTATGTAAGAACCTAGATAGCAGAGAACAACAAAGCTGCTCTAAGAGATGAGCATCAAGCCAAACACCACACAAGGAAACCATCATTAAATCCACATGGGAAAAGACAACCTCCCCAAAAAAGAAATTTTCCAGGCAGGTAGAAAAGCACAAGTACAGATGACTCATTTGGGATGTACATATAGCAGAGTCAGGAAGTGGAAACTAGCAAATATCTAAAGAGAAGCAAAAATTTATAAACCAAGAGGAAAAAAAAGAGCTAAATTGATAAGCATGTTACATAAAGGTTACCCAGAAGCTACAGATGTAGGAGCAGGAACTCAGATGATATTTAGGAGAAAACAAGCGTGAACGATGGGTCTTAAAGATGCAATGTTCATGTTATGTCATTACCACCTACTCCTGCAGGTCAGTTAATTGCCGTATTACTCTAAATTGTAAGCTGCAGATTGAGAGAGAACATGCACGAGGGCATTTGAATATCCCAGTAGAGAAATCCAAGCATCGTGTACCATAAAAATCAATTCATTCCACTTAGGAAAAGCATCTTGTTTGAATAAAGTAAAGAGCAGCTATGTTACCCAAGAATTCTTGCTGTATTAAAGAACCACTCTTAATCTACATTAGCCTATGGCAGTCTACAGTAATATTAGATCTTCACACACATTGTTCTATCAATACCCAACTTAGCTACACATAGAAAATAGAAAGTAAATTGTTGCCTCACCTGATTTTAACTTTTTGGGTGCTAAGACATCTGCTGGCAATTGACATTTTCTTCTGCGAGAAGTGGAAGTTGGCTGTTGAGCAGGGCTAACCTCTTTTCTAGGCTGCTTATTTTTTTCAGAACCAGTAGATGCCAAACACTTATTTTGAGTTTCTGAAGTGTTATCATTTTCTGGCAAGTTGCCCTTATCATGGAGAGAGGTAGAAGTAGCTGCCTTTGATTTGAATTCTACCTTTTCCCTCTTATTTCTCAGCTGCCTACGGTTTTCCTGGGATGAGTTATTTTCCAGAGATGTACCTTCATCTTCATTAAGATTTCCCTTTTGACCTCTATTGTTGCAGAAGGTACGTTTTTCCCTGAGAAAACTGGAACTAGTATATTCAGATTTGAAAGAAACTGGTTTTTTTCTGCCCAATCTTGATGGATTTTCTTCTGAAGATGGAGTTATTTCCAGAAGCATACTCTGCTGTTCCTCTGGAGATTTGTTCTTACCATCTTCTGGCAAGCCCTGAAGAGACCTAGAGCTAACAGACTGTGAAGAGCTATTTTTTTTCCTTGAGTAGCCTTTTGAAAGGTCCATTTTTTCTTGGGAAGCAGATTTTTCAGAAATCAGGTTTTTAGCTTCCCTACGATTATTCTTTCTACCACTTTCCTTTGATAAGCTGTGTGTACCCTGAGCAGAACTTGCGACTTCTGACAAGGTCACTTGATTCCTCCTGCCTCTTCTCAGCTGATTTTCTTTCAGAGATGAAGCAACAGTTTCTAAAGGAACATTATCTTCTTTAGGAGCCTCTTCTCTAGCACTGTCTGCTGGTAAGCCACGTTTTCCTCTAAGAGAAATTGAATTAGTTGTGCGTGACACCAGAGCTTCTTTCCTTCTGCCCCTTCCTAATGGGTTCACTTGTGTGAGGGACACTGGTTCCAAAGGCATATTTTGTTCTCCATTAGTATTCGCCTCTTTATCACCGTTTTGTGACAAGCCACACTTCCCCTGGAGAGAAGATGAACTTTTTGCCTCTGCTGCTAGATCAATCTTTTTTCTTTTGTCCCTCGCTGATGTATTTGTCTCTGCCTGCAAAGTTTCATTTCCCAAAGCTGGATTTTGATCTTCTTTCACAGTCATCTTTTTATCATCACCTTCTTGCAACCCACGTTTTTTTCTGATAGAAAGAAAACTCGTCACTTGTGATGCTACAGCAACCTCTCGTCTTCTTCCCCGTCTCAGTGGATTGCCTTCTGTTGAAGAGGGAGTAGTTTCCAAAGCTGGATCGTGGTCTTTTACAGAAGTCTCATCTTTACTATGATCTTCAATTAAGGTCTGCTGTTTTGTGAAGGTAGAACCAGCCGCCTGTGGAATGGAATTAACTTGCTTTCTTCTGCTCCTCCTTACTTGGGAAGAAGAATTTTCTGAAGTCTCTTGCTGACCAAGTTTGTAAGTCATTCCTTCCTCATCCCCAGGTGAACTCCTTTTTCGCCCAAGTGCTTTGGAAGTGGTTTCTTTAAGTTCAAAATTAACTTTCCTAATTCTACCTCTTCTACGCACAGCTCCATTGCTTTGTGTTTGATTCTCTTGCAGAATTTCAATTTGCTTTGATTTTAGTACCTGTTCATTTTCTGTCTGCTTTTGATAGTTACGGGCACCACTGTCACTGTTTACAGCAGTAACTGTTGTGACTGATGTGCAGTTATGGTCTTGCATTATTTTGTCTATCTTCTTTTCATCAACACAGTCTGAAGGCTCTTTGGGAGCAGATTCCTCCATTTCTGTTTCTGACTTCAATTTGGGTGTTATTAGCTCTGAGCTGTCTAAGTTTTCAGCAGATTCAACAGTCTTTTGCTCTGAAGAGGCCTTCTTGCCTCTCCTGCTCCTAGTTCTGTACGTTTCTTGCACTGTACTGTTTGATTCCAAGACTAGAACAGTAGTTGGCATTTTGTTTGTTTCTCCAGAAGGTGACATTGATTTTAATCTCCGAGATGATTCTGTTATATTCGCTTGCTTGACCTGGTCATTCTTGGCTCTCCTTCCTCTTTTAGGGGCCATCGGTTCTTCTGCATTTTCTACTTTTCTCACTTCTCCAGCCCTCTTCCTAGGCAGTAGAAGCATTTCTTCACTGTCTCCTGGATTAGCTTCATTAGCTGCATTTTTAGAGTTTTTAATATCTGTCTGCAGTTGACAGTTTTCATTTTGACTGTTACTAGATAAACTTTCTGCCTTCATGCTTTGAACATCATCTTTCATTGATATGTCACTAATGATAAAATCCTGCAAAGCCAGTTTCATAGTTGCAGGTTCTTTTTGTAACACTGAAGAATCTTTGCCACAAGAATCAAGATTCTCATCTGGAAGTTTTAACTCCTCTGCTTCTTTCCTTTTACCTCTTCTGGGTCTTTGAGTAGCAACATGCATTTCCAAAGTTGAAACAGTTTCAACTTTTTTCTCATCATTATGTTTTGAAACGTTTTCTTCTACCACACAAGCATTTGTTGTCCTTCCTCTTCCTAGATTTTTAGCTACTGAAGTTGAAGTTCTGACCTCCCCCATCTCTTCTTGGAAGCTCTTTTTCTCCAGACCTTGCAATTCTTTTAAATTTAAATCCTTTTCAGTCTGCTTTATTGAAGCAGGATGTACAGTCTTCCTCAATCTGCCCCTGGTTGGTCTCTGGGTAGACTGGTCTTCACTAGTTGACTTCCTCTGTTGAGAATCTTCACCTTGTGAAGCATTTTGTTTGTCTTCTAAAACAGTTTTTTCACCCCATGCAAAGTTTTTACATAGAAAAGAGCACAAGCAAAAGTTACTCGTTACTATGCCTGATAAAAGTATTTGTGAGTTTTTCTAGGAGAGTGGTCTTGTATATTTAATACTCTTAATTAAAAAATAGGAAAGTGTGGAGGTAATTTTAACAGATTCTAGCCAGCATGCTGCACAAAGTTGTTTTATTTGATACTGATAGCGGTCATAGCTTTCAGATGAGTTATTGAAAGTCTTTGCTAAGAAAGGTGATTTTAAATAGAGACCTTTTCATTAGTGTTTTTTATACTCTGGTATGTTTGGAGATGACACCATTACTACATCAGAACATCACTACACCGTTACCTCTTCTCCAATAGAATTTCAGTTCCGGTGAAATTCAGCAGTAGAAATTACTGTACACATTTCATGAGCTACTTGCTCTTTGTATACTATATAATTTTGAGTTTTTAAAGCACGTTAAAATTTCCTAATAGTAAGTATATTCATTACAACCATTTTTAAAATAAAAGCATTTATACATACCATATTCACGACTGCAATTAGTAGAAGGATGTACAGTATCTTCTTGCTTAGGATCCATAACACTTACTGACTTGACCTAGAGGAACAAACAATAATCAATAAATTCATGTCTGATGCGATTGGAAATAGTGAAGCTAGCCAATATAAAATTAAAATAGTTGGGAAGAAAAAAAGGTCTTGTTGAATATTCTTCTCATAAAACAAAGTTAATTTAGTTTAGTAACTGTATCCATATACAGTACTAGCACACAAACTGAACTTCGTATTTGTTATCTGTGCTAATGTAGCAGTTTTTAAAGTGAAAGGCAACACTGTACAGTTTTTTTTTAAAGTGCATTCACTAAATTGGCTGAGAAGTGTCAAAATAAAATCCCAAAAGAAAGGATATCGATGCTGAGTCATTTGATGTTCTGTAGCGTTTTACTGCAGTTCAGCACAGACAAGCACTCAGACCAGTGATACTCAGTGTTTTATCTATGGATTCGGGAGCTTACACAAAAATCAATGCTAGTAAAAGGCACAAACAAAAGTAATGAAGCTGTGTAAAATCAAAATGTTAACTCAACATTACTTCAATAACCGCAAGGACAGAGCTCCATCAAACAAAATACATAATAATACAAGCAAATGTATAGCATTTATATAGTTCTCCCTCTATAATGTAAGTGTCCATTCAAACAAGCAATGAAGGAAAGACATATAGGAACAATGAGCTATCAAATGACCAAGAGGTTTTACAGTATTTTGGCAAAAGCTTAATATTATTTCATGTTTAAAGAAAAGAGAGCTTTAATATTTAATCTAGAGGCTACAAAGAAGCTGTACAAAGAAGCGTAGATACTTTACTTATTAAAAGGAAGGCATGGTAAGAATTTGACTGTACTACATAAGTAATGTAAGGGTGCTATATAAAGGAAAAAAAAATTGTTCCTTCATATTTGTACTGTGCCTCATCTTGTCAAAGGGGGTCATTGACCTGCAAAAAGCTTCCAAGGAAAACGCAGGTTGCAATCTTTACTCTTCCCAAATTACCATGGTATTTTTCATCTAGAGGTCGCATGCATGAGATATTTTAATCAAAATATGATGCAATAAAACATGAGGTCGTATTAGATGGCCTAAGGGTTCATTTCAGCCACAGACTCCAAGTCTAAATAAATTCCTAAAAAAATGAATAAATAAGCTTTACCTTCGTTTTCTCTGGTGTATCAAATATTTCCTTCACTCCAATGTAGTCCACTTCAAACTCAGTATTTTTCTGTCTGGGTTCTGCCATCAGCCTACTCAGACCCACAAAATCATCAACTGGGTGAGATTTCTCTCTGGGAGTCTTCATTAATCTGCTAATACCAAATACATCTTCTATGGGTTTAACTTTTTCCTTTGGTGTCTTGAAAATACGGCTGATTCCAATCATGTCTTCTACCGGTTGGGATTTCAATTTTGGAGTTTTCTTAATTAAATTAACTCTTGTCACATCTTTTAATACTTCCTTTTTTTGTATTGGAGTCTCCAGCAATTTTTCAGAGGCATTTTCATCTGTAATAGGTTCTGACTTTTGCTGTGGGCCCAATAACACCTCCGCTGGCTTCAGCTTTTCTTCCGGGGTCTTCATGAGCTGCTTGATGCCCGACAAGGACTCCACAGGCTCCCACTTCTGCTTTGGGGTCTTCATGAGCTGCTTGATGCCTGACAGGGCCTCTGCTGGTTCTGACTTCTGCTTCGGCGTCCTCAAAAGCTGTTTGATGCCCGACAAGGACTCTACAGGCTCCAACTTCTCCCTCGGGGTCTTCATGAGCTGCTTGATGCCTGATAGAACCTCTGCTGGTTTTGACTTCTGCTTTGGGGTCCTTAAAAGTTTCTTGATGTCTGACAAGACATCTGCTGGTTCTGACTTCTGCTTTGGGGTCTTCATGAGCTGCTTGATGCCTGACAAGGACTCCACTGGCTCTAACTTCTGCTTTGGTGTCTTCATGAGCTGCTTGATGCCCGACAGTACCTCTGCTGGTTCCAACTTCTGCTTCGGGGTCTTCAAGAGCTGCTTGATGGCTGACAGGACCTCCGCTGGTTCTGACTTCTGTTTTGGTGTCTTCATGAGCTGCTTAATGCCTGACAAGGACTCTACAGGCTCTAACTTCTGTTTTGGGGTCTTTAAAGGCTGCTTGATGCTTGATACAACTTCAACTGACTCCAACTTCTGACTTTTCCTTTTATTTGGTGACCTCATTTGAGATACTTTTTTCTCTGGATTTACTGACGCACTATCCATACCAGTATCTTCTTTCAGCATACTTTTTCTCTTTTCAGGAGTTTCTGTGGATATTGCATCAAACACAGACTTTAGAGATTCTCTCTCTCTCAGAAAGTAAGAGATGTCTTGATAATCCTGTTTCTGTTCTGAAACATCTGAAGCATTTAATGGCGACACCATCATCTCTCCTGAAATAAAAGGTAGGTTTATACAATTTGGAAGAAACAAGAACCAACCAACAAAAAACAGTAAATCTAACAATGCTAACTGCTGTATAGCTAAGCAGAAAACAGACTCAGTCAGCCCAAGCATTAATAAGCTAAAATTCTACAATGCGCTTCAACAATCAATTTGGTAATTAGCATTAAGATAATCAGCTCCTACAAGGCACAGCATAAAACTAAAACAGTGAGTAGAAGTTACAAGGGAAACCAAGGTTTTTCAATCTGATATAAAAAATGATTTTATTAACGCCTCTTCTATAAACATTGTATTATTTATTCTTATTTTTTTTTCTTTTGCTAGATGCTCATCTTTACTAAATACTTAAGAAAACAGAATTGAACAGAACTGTGACGAATTCTAAGTTATACAAGGACATAACGACTGGTATGCAATTAAAAAAAACACACCTACTTCCTGCTGTAAGATGTTGCCACTGGACAAAGTCAGGTCCACAAATAACCAACTAAAGAACGGCCATGCTTCAACAAAAGATTTGCCTGAAACTACACTTCATCACATAGAAATGTCAGACTAAATCCAAATACTAAAAAAAACTAAAGCCTACGAAAAATTACCGAAACTACAAAATGTTTTTTTAATACATTATAGACATTAAAATATAGCTGCAAGGTATTTTTTCTCTACATCAAGTCTGTCTAGCTCAAGACTGTTTGCTGTCTCAAATAATTGTAGACACTATTACCTTACACGTACACATAAGTCTTCCTTTCCAAACAACATACCAGATTCTTCAGGAGTTTGCAGATCAGAAATCTCCATTGCAGTGAACGTTGGTGTAAAATTATGAGCAATGGTCAGAGCTACGGTTTTTCCACCCTGATTGTCTGGTGTTTGAAACATCTCAGTCAGTCCTATAGAACATATTTAAAAAAAAAGAGAACAAAAACAAGAAAAACACACACTTGAAAAACAAAACACACACATCAAATCAAACCAAATCAGTATCAAAAAACCCCACACAGTTGACAGAACCAGTAACAGATTTTAAGATTTCACAACTTACCTGTGAAGTTTTCATCCATACTCATGCTCTGTTTTAAGATTGGATTTTTTACCACTTTAGGGACCTTCCCAGCGGTTTGAACTGTGGTGGAGTAAGCTCTACCTACAACTATTGTAGCAGGAGACTCTGCATGACCTGTACTAAAATGACCTTTTATTTTTCTTTCTGGTGTCTACAGCAAAAAAAGAAAATAAAACAACATCAAAACCATGAGTAAATATTTAAATTTTAGTAAATATTTTTGTTTAAAACCAAATGAGAATCGTTCAAAACTGCCACATATTCATTGGTCTTGTTTAGTTAATAAATACTGTTCAGCATACAGAAGCTGTTAAATTGCAGCTAAATTAAAGGGTTAGCTCTTTGTGAAATACGTAGCTTGTATCTTCTGTTAAAATTTGAGGGACTGTGCTCAATGAGCCGCGTGACAAGTACTCTTAGCTTTAAGGAATGCTCAGAGATTATCCTGAGAGTGCTTCAGTCTTGCTCCTTATCATCTTCACAGAATCAACTATCTGGATGATCTATTCAAAATCATCAAGTCCAGTCATCAACAAGAACTGTTTAAACTAAAATAGACACTCATCCAAATGGTAGTACAGTTTGACTGTAGACAACGGACAAATACTTAATCCATCTACCCAATGTATTTGGTTATTTAGACATACTCTTACAATGCTTTGATTACACTAAGTTCACTTTCAGTTAATGAAACTGGTTACTTATTTCACATGCTCAACACAGCACAGAATCCAGACATTTACCTAGTCCTTAGCTACTGCTAGCACCCAATGGAGCTCACCAAAAAGAATAACTAGACATGATTCTTGACTTCTTACAAGTCACAGTATTCTTACAAATCATGAAAAAGACACCAATACCATTTAACATCTTTCTAAAAACTTACAAACTTCCAGCTTCTGCAGCAAAACACTTACAAGCCGTTTATAGTTCAGCAAACCCCAAACCCTTTAAATAGTATAAGAATATACCTTTGGTGACTGTGTGATTTTCCTTGCTGGCCTTCCTTTTTGAACCGATTTTTTTACAGCCTTTGCCTGTGGTCTTGCAACACCTAATTTAACCACTTCTGCCCAAGTTTTTGCAACTAGAAAACAAAATGGGAATAACAACCTAAATTCTCAGCCACATAAATAGGAATTCAGAACTATTTCTTTACGATTCTAAAGGGTTTGCTGCAAACATCAGAAATTAGTAGTTGTATCATCTCATGGCACCTATGCTCAAGTGCTGTGTGAAAACACTTTCAAATGAAGATGCTATTTCAAGCTGAAGTTTAACAAGCATCCAGGATAGTTTTGTTTCCATGACCAAAGAAGAAAAAGACTTACACAATGTGATACACTACATAACCTGAAACTGAAGACTGACCCAATTCTGTCTTCACACTTTTCATCAAGGAAATACTTTCCCCAATAGAAATTTGCCATCAGCTTCTCAGCCCTGCTCATTATTATACCGGAACTTTTCTTTGGCAGAATGTGAGGTTTTAAGTCAGAGAAATGATTTCTAAGAGAAACATACTGATTTTTCTTTCATCACCTAACCAAGGAACTTTGTCATGATGAAATTATTTACACTGCTTAGAGCATTTAGGTGCATGTAGAATTTCTGTAACTTTTTTATTACCATCTTCATCATACATCTCTGAAAATGGCCATGGTATAGCTATCATTCTGTACGCAGTAATCAGGAAATTAATCACAACTGCGTAATAAAGCTGTCAGCTGACAGGACACCTGCCTCATTTACTGCAGAAATGGCAAGGAGAAGACTTATAAGATAAAAAATGGGAATGCCAGTTCTGAAGATATTCTGAAGATATTATTTTCTTGTCAGTTACTGTGCAAGTTAGGGAAAGTTGGCAAAACAAAAATCAAAAGCTGTCAGTACTAGATGTGCAGAATAAAAAGACGAAAGCCAACTATACAGGGAATTATCTAAAAAAAGAACTGGGAAGACAAAGTTCTCCCAATTACACATCCAAAAATAAAAAAAAATAATTGAAGATAATGGTGTTATTTTCATTTTACAGAAGACACTGATGCACACATACTAAAAACCACTTACCAGAGACGGAGAGAACAAGTGTCAAAAGTTTGTGAAGAACTCTTGCTGATAAGTGAATGAAACAGACAAAGCAACTAAAAAAAACCCCATATTTTGCTTTCAGCTGCATTACTGAGGAAGGCCTGTGATTGTATCTCTATATAGTGCAACAATCACTGGGATACTGAATGAACATTCAAATGTGAAAGACCGAAAGGCTCATTACAGTTAACCTATCAAACAAAACCTTAATTCTACCATTTATAAACTTTGGACTGTTAAGATTTACGTTTTAAATGCTTTAGTAATTTATTTTCATACATAAGAGAATGTAAAATTCTGCAATTTTCAGATGTTTCAGAAAATCCAAAATCAGAATACGTGACAATCATCGATGATACGGGTGTAATGAATTAACAACAGGTCTAATTCAGCCTTGCCACCAATTTTTTTTAGTGGTATTTAAATTCATATAAAAAATTAACTGCAGAAACAAACCTAGTAAATTGGCACTAGAAGCACCACTTCTTCTTTTCGCACTGAGTACTGCCACAGCCCCACTTCTCCTCTTCATGGGAGTCTTCTTCAAAGCATGTTGTGATCTTCTGGTTAATTTGTTAGGTGTAGTCATCAAAAAGGCTTTCTCATCTTCGTTAACAGGAGCAGATTTAGGTGTTTGCACTTGACCATTTTTCTCCTTTGTATTCATATCTTTCACACCTGCATTCTGCTCTTCTGCAATGGGGGATGGAGTAGTTATTTGAGAAACAGAGAAACGTCCTTTTGTGTAAGGTGGTGGAGAGCTTAAAGTAAATGTTGGTGTTGCTTTTCCAGGAGCAGAGGATGAGCCGGGTGGAGACTTCTGTGCTGACACACTTCTCGGTGACATTTTTTCTTTCTGCAAATGTACACTAAGTTCCTGATAGAAAATAATAGAAGTGAAAGACAAGTTACTGCACAAAGCTCAATACAAATGCTCCTCTACATATCTGAAAAGTAAATAGAGTCCTACAAAATATTAGATCATTTGAAAATCCTTAGACATTACTCTCTAAAAACACATAACAATTTTTAAATTTCACAAGTCCCATTCAACTGAACAAATGAAGCAACTTTATTATTCAACTCAAAACAGGTTTACTCAAATAAAGTACACTACAAATTTTCACCAGCTTGAAACAGCAGCAAAACATTTTCCAACTTCTGGCCAAGCCACCTAACAGTAGTTTGCACATTCTGCCCAACTTTTGCTCTAGACTGGCTATTTTCAGTTCCTTATGGCAAACTGGTGCTGGTAAGCACAAACACACAGAAATACGCTCCTACATATGTATGAGAACAAGCAAAAGCATGGGAGGTAAAAAGCACACACCCAGAGGACAAAGATAGGTAGAAAAAGGTAAACCGCACCCCTTTCTCTTAAGGAGGAAGCTTACTGATTAAAAATTGCTATTTAGAAGTGCAATCTTAAGTTGCAATTACTACCTCCGCTTCCAAACATATACCTAAACAAGACATTCCTCATTTTGAATTCACTTTTAGAAGCCTTTGAATTTCTAAATTCCATCCATCCACATTAATTAGCTTAGTAACTCGATTAGTTTTCACATTTGACATTTACCTGGGTTGCAAAGTGCTTCAGTCCCTGCCCCTTTTTCAGAACTGCACGTGGTGAGTTTCCAAACGGTAAGCTCAGTCTTGCGGGAATGGCACCTCTTTTAATGGGTGAGTTGGGAGGCAAGCTTTTATCAAAGAGTTCTGGACTCAGATGACCACCAAAAGACACTCTTTTTCTTTTTCCTAAAGGCTGAGGTAACAAATCACCACTTGTCCTCTTCTGAGACATCCTTTTGGTCTTATCTATAATAAATAGCAATAACAGAAAATAACCAAGAAACAAGGAAGTCACCCTGTTAAACAACACAGAAAGGAGTGTTTGTATGTGCATTTTAAATTCGGAAACTTACCAGATGGTAACTAATTTAGATACAAAAGTTTACCCAATTGAATAATTCATTGTGTAATTTTAAGGTCAACTACGTGATATACACCTTAGAACGGAGGTGCCAGCAATTAATTCTGTATTTTACTTAAGCAAAGAAATTCTCACTAACACCAGAATTTCCCCAGTTCAGTCAATTAAGTTCTAACAAGGCATGAGATTAAATCTATTTACCTGGTTGCTCCTCAGTTGACAGGCCAGAAGTATTTCTTTCTGAAGGAGTCTCATTGTCTTTTGGTACAGTAGCACTTCCAGAAGACCTTTTTGATGATAATCTATGAGGTCTTAGAATATGGGCATCTTCCAAATCCAGCTTCTTTTGACATCCCTTGTTGGCCAGCTCTTGTTTAGCTTCACTGTCTTTTCTGTCTGCAGTCTCATCGTGGTGTTCTTGAACTGCATTTGCCTCCAATGCTTTTTCAGTTAACTGTCCAGAGGTCCTCGTCCTTCCCCTTTTTCTTCCAGAGCCAGATTTCTGACTAGCAGATGCCAGCTCTGATGTGAATTCTTCTGAAGTTGATGTTTCGGAGTGGACGCTTTTGTTTGTTAACTCATTACTTTGCCTGCTTTTTCTTCTGGGACTCTTAGATGCTGCAGGAGACCCAGAATCTCTCTTTTTCAAGTTAATGTTTGTCTGATCACAAATTTCTATCAGCGTCTCTTCTTTCACTGATTTTCCTGGTGTAAGCTGTTTACTATTTCGTCTCTGTTTTAAGCATTTATTTTCTGCCAGTTGTTGGAGGCTATCATCTCTGCACACTGCATCTTCCCCTGGAGTATCAGCTGAAATTGCCGAAAAAGACTCATGTTCCACCAACACATCTCCTCGAGTTACTGGAGTCCCAGTACTTACAGAATCTGTACCACATGTTTCTTTGGCAGGTGACATGAAGGCAGACCGAAGACTCTTTCTTCTGGGCCTCGGTGTAGACAAAACACATTTATCACCTTCTGAAATATTTGTCACGTTAGCTGCCTGTGTTAGTTCATCTAATATTACTGCAGAGTTGTCAATTTTATCTGCATAACTCAAGCACGTCTTCAGTGAACGTGCTGCATTCCCATTCTTCTCCTTACGGGCATTGGGTGTAACTTCAGGACCTCTCAATTTCCCTGATGTACTTAATTCCTTATGATCTTGCAGATGACTTCCCTTACCACTACCTCTTGTCATCTCCTTTGAAACAGAATTTTGAGGAGTTTTTGTAAGACTCTTCCTGGTAGCATTTCCTACAGTTGAACTCTGAGTCAACTCTGAATTGACTACATCTTGATTAATTTTACATTCTTCATTATTCTCTTTTACATCTATTCCTTTTCCTTTAGTTGTGCTTCCCAGTTCATGAACACAACTTGGTGGAATTCGAGCATTTGGTTCCAGCAGAACACTCTTCCCATCTTCTCCAGTTTTTTGAAGTAAATTTCCTTCTTGTAGAAGTTTTCTCCCTCTAACCTCATGTTTCAGCTTTTCATAGAGTTTACTAAAAGGAGACATTTCGTTTTCCTTTTTAGCAGATTCTTGTATTTTGCATGACTTGAGTGCTTGTAGCTTAGCTGGTATGGCTTTTGAATGGTTTTCCTCTGTGCTGTGTTTATTTTCCTCGGCGTTTTGGTCTTTGCACTCAGAATTATCTACAGTTTAAGCAAAGCACAACAGTAAGTTACACAGTAGGTGAAGAAACACAACTGCAAGTTCCTTAAATAGAGATAATGATAATCCCTTCCTTTCATCCACCAGGAATATCAACCAGGGTTCAGAACATAGTATTGTAAATAAAGCTATTAACAATAGCAATTCTCTGATAATAAAAATCAGTCCTAAAATGTTTAACAAATTTTCAGCTGTAATCTGGACTTCATTCCATATACAGATAAGACAATCTATATTTTCTCTTCTTTTCAACAGTTCATACACGTTTCATGGCTGCCACACGATAAGTGTGAATAAAAACACCACTCTGATTGGCTTACCACTATTCACTAACTATCCTGTCTTGTGTTTACAAAGGTGCTGTACCATTTCAGCTGTACATTCAGCTGAAAGTTACAATAACGTTCCTCTGGGGTAAAGCAAGATAATAGAGAACTAGAAATTCCCAGAGGAGACACAGCAAGCAATTTGCGTGCATGCTGGAAGCTTGAAGTAGCATGCTTCCACAGTGGATTCCTTTAAACTTAGAAAGTTTCATAGAACCTAGAACATCCCATCTTCTCATGAAAGTATCTTTACTGAACACAGGGAGGATGGAAGATTCTGGCATTTAACCTGTTTAAGGGCTATCATTACTCCAAATTAGCACCTCTAGAATAAAGCTGCTTTGTAATACATCTACGTAAAATAGGCACTGTGAACTATGATTTCAATCAGCAAAGCTAACTCTGTCTCTCTAGAATTATATCTTCTACAAATTCTTTTTAGGAAAGAATACCTGACAGAATTTGTTTGCAGCAAGATTTGCTCAAAAGCAATCTGTTAACATATTTTAATCACAAAAGTGACTTTATGATGTTAGAGTTGTCACTGCGAAGTAAAATGTAGTCATCAGTAGTTTCACACATCTGTTTCAACTGTCATTTTGCACTGCAGCTTCAAAAATGGTATTATCTTTATAAACCAAAGTCTGCAGAAACCACTTAAAGCAATACAAACATATTCTGCTAGTTTCAGTTTAACTGTCCTGCCTGTTCGTCAGGATGCAACTATGTTATTTCTCTTGATGGGACCTTGTTTTGGTAAATCACAAAGTACAATGAAACAGTACACAGGTGTAGAAGAGTGTACTGTACTCAGACCGAAAAGTCTTTAAGAATATATTTTTTTTTCAGCGTTGTTTTTCCTGCTGATGCTCATAATTTAAAATTAGGTTGGGAGAAACATAGAATGACCTGGGTTGAAAAGGACCATCTGGTCATCAACCACCAGATCAGGCTGCCCACAGCCACATCCAGCCTGGCCTTGAATGCCTGCAGGGATGGGGCATCCACAACCTCCTTGGGCAACCTGTTCCACTGCATCACCACCTTCTGAGTGAAGAAAAATATAACCACCCCCCTCTAATACAGGTACAAACCTGAAGAACAAAGACTTTTAGGTCCTGAAGTTTGTTTGAGTAACAGCTCCGCTTCTGCCACCTGCTGAACATGAAGAACCTGTAAATTTGTACAACATTACAGCAGAGCAACACATATTTATACTTTCCCTTCTACTACACATCGAAAGAAACACTAAATTTATAAACATGTAAGCATTGTTTACTGAACAGCTTTAAAAGGATTCAATTTTAATTGTTGAGTATTGCACGGGTTAAGAACACTGGTAGTTTATACAGTGAGAGTTCAAGTGCTGTCTTATCATTATCAGCTCTGCGTGTACCTGTAGCAAACAAATATATACAGCAAATTCTAACCTCACTTCCTTACTAGATGAGGTGAAATAATTTTATTTAAATAGGAAAAATAGAAGAAAAGTCTTCCAGTAGCCACGGTATTCACTGAGCAGAAGTATCCCCTCAAAGGGATAGAACAGTAAAAAAAAAAAAAAAAAAAAAAAAAAAAGAGGGAAACAAATGAAAATAAATTAATCAAAAACAGACTTATTTTGACCCTGACAAAGTCCAACACTGCATTACTATAATAGCACACAGAACACATGATTTCTGAAAAAAATCATGCTTAGGGTCTATGGCAAACTCCCCCATTTAATGCACAAGGATACTGAACGCCACGCTCCTCATTTCCTGCATCCCAGGAGCTCCTCAAAAATGTTAACAATTATTTTTTACCTGCATCACAAACATCACAGACCATTAAGTATTACCTGAAACTGCCTACTCTTAAATTAATAAGTGACCTGTATTTTAGAAAGTGTTTCTCTAAAGAAGTTTACTTGCATTTCCAAACAGAAAGCCTGCTAACAATTGAAAAATTATTTCTAATTTTCTAAAAAGAAACACAAACATCCACAACAAAACAAGGACACTGTACCACAGCAATACTAATACCGACATCCTTGCAATAAGCAACTTACTGACACAAAATTACCTGCAGTGCTTCATCTTTTGGAGATCTAGACTGTCTTTTCTTTGGAGTTGATTGGAGAGGATATTCAAATCTAGAAAAAGTATTTGAAAGTAAAATAGAATCATAGAATGGCCTGGGTTGAAAAGGACCACAAAGATCAGCCAGTTCCAACCCCCTGCTGTGTGCAGGGTCACCAACCAGCAGACCAGGCTGCCCAGAGACACATCTGGCCTGGCCTTGAATGCCTGCAGGGATGGGGCATCCACAGCCTCCTTGGGCAACCTGTTCCAGTGCCTCACCACCCTCTGAGTGAAAAACTTCTTCCTAATATCTAAGCTAAACCTCCCCTGTCTCGGTTTAAAACCATTCCCTTTTGTCCTATCACTATCCACCCTAAATTCTCATTATTAAGACCAATGACCTGGTAAGATTGGTCCCACTCCCAGCAATACACACACCGCTTTTAAATGCTTCAACTACATCAAGACCCTCCTAACATTACTCCTAGAAATGCTCATCCTGGAAATAAAATAACAGAATTCTCTCTCTAGGCAATTCCAGTTTTTTGATTTAGCTTAACATAATACGGAAGCAATAAGAAAGTCCTTCAGCCACTCTGCCTTCTAAAGGAGCTCTCTAACTCATAAAGAAAAACTAAATAAAGCAGGTTAACTTCCGTATCTGAAGACTGTCAAGTGGCATTTTAAGCTGTTCCACTCTCTACCATATCTTCATCCAGCTCCCAGAAACCTGTACCATAGAGTTCTCAGCACTGCTGGTCTGCAGAGCATCCTCTAGGACCAGGACATTCACAGTAGGTCCTTGACACTCACCTGAAAGAACGATCGATAATAGTTAGCACATCCCCATGTTTCAGAGGTACAGGCTGCTGGAAATAACCACCATTCAGCTGAGTGGGATTTACTGTACTCAGATTAGTCAATATTGCCTAAAAATAAAGCAAACATGTCAAAACCACAGTGAGATGCAACAACACGATGCAAATGTTTTTAACATGAGTAACTCACCTCCTTGTTCTCGTTTACTTCAATTTTACAGTGCTCTTTTGAGACCTGAGGCAAGTGAATGCGAATATCACATTCTGTTCTCCTACAGGTTAAAAGGAGAAAAAAACAGAAAAATGGGATAGCTGTGGAATTAGGATGTCCAAAATTTCAGCTAATAATCCATACAATAGCACACCACTTGTGTTAGCCATACAGAACAGGTAAATACTATATTTAGTGCTGACTTCAGTGATTCAAAGTAGTGAGAAAAACAACACTGAACTAAAAAGGATAGAAAATTGAATGAGGCAGAGAGAAAAACACGCAATCTAAAGCTAAATCATCTTACTAGCAAAACATGTCATTTCTAAAACCTGCCCAAGAACTAACAGTACACAAACACCCCCCCCCACTCCCCCTCCCTAAAAAGGGTCTGAACATGGAATGGCTAAGCAAAAGTCTAGTGTTACCTAACTGACACAAGTATGAAGCCAGAGATAACTATCAGTAACACAGAATTATAGAATGGCCTGGATTGAAAAGGACCACAAAGATCAGCCAGTTCCAACCCCCTGCTATGTGCAGGTCACCAACCAGCAGACCAGGCTGCCCAGAGCCACATCCAGCCTGGCCTTGAATGCCTGTGGATGGGGCATCCACAGCCTCCTTGGGCAACCTGTTCCAGTGCCTCACCACCCTCTGGCTGAAAAACTTCCTCCTCATATCCAACCTAAACATCCCCTGTTTAAAACCATTCCAGTTTAAAACCATTCCCCCTTGTCCTATCACTACCTCTATTAATAGCGTTGAACTCACTGATCTTAATTGACACTGGACATTTTGCCATAGACTTTCACCAAGGAATCTGATTTGGGTCTGACTAATTACTTATTTACGATATCAACCAGTCAGTCAAGTGCTGACCAAATACTTCTAAAGAAATAAAAGCATTTTATTCATCGATTCTAGACCAACCTCTGTATTCTACAACCCAGGTCTCAGAGAACCAACCAAAGCTGCAATTAGTGGAGGCACGGTGAATATGGTTGAACACAACGCATGTGCTTCACTTCTAGATATAAGAATTACCCTGCTTGCTTGTCATGGGTATACTACTTTCAATCTCAGGTTTGCCAAACTCGTTTGCTTCATTTCCCTTGGCCAGAAGCTTAGGAAAAAAAGCAGTTTTAGTAAAGAAAGAGCGCAAAGCAGTGACAGTGAATTCAGCCCCAGCCCCATAGCACCGTCCCTCCTTCAAATATCTCCCACAAACATATAAACATTTCTGATAACAGGCATCAGGGAGGTTCCACCTGCAGGAAATACACTCTTAATGCTATTCTGGTGCATTCAAAATACGCTCACCTTCCAAATAAACACGAGCTGGCGGTGAGCGGAAAATAAATGCCGTCGGTCCCGTTCCGTTTAATGATAACAATCTTCCCAAAGAGCGGCATCTTCGCACAAAAGGATCCTTACCTGTGGGAGAACGTCAAGATAACTCACGCGTGCAACGCTCTATGTATTTAGGAAAGGAAAGTCGCTCAGCCAGCCGCTGCCAGCCGTGACACAGCGCGGCGCTGCCCGCCTCCTGCCGCTACACGCACGGGAGCTCAAGGCGTTAAGCACGGCCAGCCCGAAAAGCGCGTTAAGAGACGCTTAGAAGAGCGGTTTGAACAGTTACCCGAGGATCCTTACCTGCGCCTCACGGAAGCGGCGCTCCGGCTCTTCTCCCTCAAGCTGCAGCCCGCGGGAGCGACTGGGCTGAGCGCGGCGCTTCCGCCGCCACCGCCGCTCACTGCGTTTTCCCGCGCGCGCCAGCGCCGCCGCGTCGGGCCCTCTCACTGCGGCGCGTATCCCTGCGCCGCGCTCCAACGGGGCACGAGAGCGGCGCGGAGCGCTCTAAAAGCAGCTTTCCGTCTCGCCACCCTCACCTGCCGGTAGCCGCCGTGGCTGGCGGGACTCACCTGAGCCAGCCGGTTGCGGCAGCCGCCCCGAGGCGGTGAGATTCTTTTAGCTTTACCGGGTGCCGACTCGGCGGAAGGAGAAAAGAAAAACGTGGTGAAACTTCAACAACAACTTTCGAAAAGACGCGCGGCCTCCCGCGATTGGTAGAAGGGAGGTCACGTGGCGGCGCGGCGCACCCAATGGGGAGCGCGGGAACGGTTTGATTTCAAACGGCCCCCCCCAACCGTTCCCCGCCTCAGAGCCGCCCCGCTCGCCCACCCGTCCCTCAGCGCCTCCGGCAGCTCCGTAACCGCGCTGCTGCTGAGCCCCACAGAACAGCTCAGGGCGGCGGAGCAGGACCAAAAGCAGTTTGCATTGGTAAAACAGATTAAAAATAAAAATACATAACAAAGCCATCTCTACTGTTAGGCTCTTTTACAGACAGAAATCCAATTCCCTGACAGGAGCTCATGTGAATTGGTCACTGAATGCCCTTGCTACTTGCTTAGACGTTTTTAACTTAATTCAACCAGCAAAAAGGTAATTAGAGAAAAGCTATTTCACTGAGATCCGCCTTCTTAATGATTAGGCTCATCAGTGGAAGATCCAATAATAAAAGAGAGCCCCGATCATTAAAACATGCTGGGTCTGAAGGCTGCAGCCAAGAGCACAACAACAACAAAATGAACAGAATTAGAGAACTCGGCATCTTAATTCCTCATCAGAAGGTCCTTATACAAGGCCGTTTTGTCCTGATTCTCAACAGGTGGTTTGGAAGCACTTGAATGAACAAAGCTTATTTCTCACAGATTCGTACAATTAATGTCAATCAGCCGAAAGCCTCAGAAAGCAGAAATTCCAGTTAAAGCTTTTCCCACACTGGAGCTTTTATATAGAATATATACAGTATATAAAGGCACTAAACTCAGGCAGCAGTTTTAGTATCAGTGAGATCAGCCTCTGTTACCTTTAGATACAGCACAGCATCCTCAGGGCAGCTGCAGCTTGGGCAGCAAATTCAGAACACACAGCTGGGAGGAGAAGGGAGACAATGAAGGCAGTGCCTGGCTTCTACACCTGCCAGCACTAAAAGAGCTGAGAAACTACTAGCTTCTCAAAAAGCATTAAAGTTATGTGATTGGCATCAATCGAGTTGCAGCTGTCATCGTGGATCGGTTCTCAATTTACAAACTTTTCTCACGCACTCTGAAACACTTCAGTCTATTCACACTGTGTTAACACACAGCCTAGTGCTAGAGCAAGTTATTTTAGATAAATCTCTTTGCAGTAGATAACGTGATGGTATATTACACTGACACTACTGCACCTAAGATTTTCAAATGTGTGTATTCATACAGAGAACCTGATTAGTTGCTCTTCATTCTTAGGAGAGGATTCTGCAGAAGTTTATTGACAAACAAGACAAGTTTACTGAAATGGCTCTTATTGCAGACAGCTGCTACTTGTGTAAAGGTTCCTGATTTGTACACCTGCTTATGGAGTACAGGGCAGGATTCTGTGTACAGACTGATACTCAGCAGCAGAAGAGCCACCTCCATAGAAGGACTCACAACACCAGGGAGCAGTCATTCCACCTTACTGCTTTCTCACAGCAGCTTACACTCAAGCCTCCCACTTACCATGAAATCTAAACTAGAAAACCTTCCTATACAATTCTGAAACAAAATCACTTGAAAGCAAAAGGTGTGTGACTTCACAGAGGTGGAGGCAGTTTGCAAGAAGAGAGGAACATAACCTTCTCTTGCAGAGACCAGGAGCAGGAGGGACACAGCCCTCTGCTGCTCACTGCCTGAAGCAAGACTGTGCTAAATAATTCCACCTGGAGCTTCTCAGAAGTGCTACAGTTTTGTTTTTCCTCTTGTCTACCCAGCTGGCACACAGCAACAACCTAGATCTGTTATTCAATGTTTATGAATAAGTTTGAGTGGCATCCGTGAAAACGAGGGAACAATCACAAAGCAGTGGAAACAGGGGAGGAAGGAATGCTTATTTGTGAAAAGAGCTTCCCTGGCAAAGTCTGAGCCCAATTAATAATTTGGTAGAAATTCTCAGTCTGAGTGAAGTGGCACAGAAAATGCATCAAAATCATTAGAATAAAGCTCTTGTTAAAATATCTAAATTACAAAATAATCCATTAATACGCAAGATGAAGAACATTCACAGTGAAGTTCAATTGCTCGAAAAATTCTCAGAGGCACTGAACAATTTCTGTATTAAGGAAAGCTTAGCTTCCACTTGACACATGTGCCCTATACAGAACAAATACGTCTTTGATCTTGCTTAGTCTGTATTGTTTAACCAGCCCACTGAAATCAATATTTCATGAGCAGTTTACAACCAAAGTTTGTTCTTTCTGAAAGTTCAGTTTCTAAAAGCATAACCTTCAGCCCCGCAAGTTGTGAAACACAAAACCTTCATGAAGAAGCATGGGGTCAAGGAAACAAAAAGAAAACACACAACAAACCAGGAAGTGCAGAGGAGTGTTTGTACCACGGGAAGCCTTCTTGAAGAACTACAGGGTCATTCCCTCAATACTCACAAAGGAAGGATGCGATGGGACTTGGCACATCAGAGCTCTGCATCGTCAGCTCTCATTTATGAACACAGTTTGGGAAGACCTGGCTTTCTAATCGCTGTCATGAGTTTATGTGCGCTTCGCATGCGCAGAGCTTTGGTTACGACATGAATCAGAGCATTGCTTCCAAATAGCGACAGATGATAAGTACTGAGAAGTTACTGATGTAGATAATGGGTTTTCAGTCCTTTAGGATGCTTCACTTAAATGAACACACATACAGGAATAAAATTAAAAGATTTAAAGAGAGTAATGCAGTTTGAGAATAAAAACAAAGCTTTGTTCTTGCATCAGAATGTATTAGATCTTGCAATTTGCATATACAAATAATTCAGCAACATTCACCGGCATTAAAAACACAGCAAGATCAAATTATAAATGTAATAAAAGAAAATAATAATAGCTGAAACTGTATAATACATACATATATTATAAAGATTTGACAAATTAAATACAATTTGGTTATACAGAAAAGTTTCAATAGCTTTACATTAAAAATGGTACTAGGGAAATGAAAACATTTCAAAAGATTGAACACAGGCGGTCAGGCTGGTTTTAAAAGTTTAAAAAACTGATACATAAAAATACCCTAAAAAACACTGGTAATTACAGTAAGCATTCTTCATTAAGGCCCAATTCAGCAAAGCACTTAAGGGATTGCTCCAGGAACAAAGAGCCAATGGTACTGTGTGTTTTGTGGAAGGGATGTCGACAAGCAAATGCTTAAATGCTCAGGTGAACTGGAACCTACCTTAACACATGAGAACAGTCAGTCAAGTCACACAGTGACCAAAACCACATACAGATCAGAATGTACGACTTCTAATCAACTATTTGGCATTTCCAAGTCATTCCATGCAACGTAGGAAAATTTCAAACAAAAGTCAGGTATACCCATGTTGAGCCACAGCTCCCAGCTAAAGGGCTGCTGCAACAGGCAGCCTCCCCCATTACTCATCACAAGAACTGGAAAGCAAGCTTCTCAAATTATTAAAAAAAATAAACATAAAAATCACTACATAGCTATATTTATGACTTCCAAACTACATTACTGTTGTGGTTTTTTTTCCTGTTTCCTCACAGATAATACAGTTTGCAACTACAACCCGAGTACTCACCGAACAGCTGATGTTTCAGCTGAGCTCCATCCTGCTCCTCGCTCCAACGGAGGCCTATTTGTCACCCACAGCCTAAATGTTTGCAGCGCTCCTGGGTACAAATGGGACCATAAGACAGACTTTTTTGGAGAGCAGCAAACACCTCTTGGCATTATGTTCTATCATCACTGAATGCCTAGAGGCATTCAAAGCCGGGCTTTGATGTGGCTCTGGGCAGCCTGGGCTGGTGGTTGGAGACGCTGCACATAGCAGAGGGTTGCAACTAGATGATCATTATGGCCCTTTCCAACCCAAGCCATTCTATGGTTCTATGATCACTCAACCTCTCTGAATCTCTGTGCTGACTGTACTGAAAACCCCACTGTCTCACACCAAATTTATTTGGTAGCTACTTGAAATTTGATAAAATTTTAGCACGCAGTAGTAATGCAGACTTTGCATTCTTCTCATCTAGTCAACACTTTGTGTTCTGAGCACATCTAATAGCAAGTCACAGCGAATGCTTAGTCTTCAAACCACCTCTTTAAGTGCATAATTGCATGATTTACTGTGCAAATAAACACAGAAGTGCATCAAAGGGAAGACAAGAAGCAGGAAACGGCAGCGTTCAGAGCAGTGTGCTTACAAGTTCTTAACACACCTTTCCCATTCAATATGAAAGTGAGGAGAGGCAGAAGGTGCTCCTGTCTCCTTGTGGTGCTGCAATGCTTGATGCTCCGTGTTAGCAGCTGGGAGAAATGCTTACAGGAGTGGTGAAAGGATACAGTTCAGTTGCTTAATTTTAAGTAAGGCTTTTACGTTTGCATTGATAAAACCCAGCCAACTGGACAAGACAGGACTAGTGCATATTAGTTAGGTACCCAAAGTACATAGTCACCTATTTTGTGCTCATTAATTCCTACGCGCGTTCTAAAGAGTGGAAAATACAGACTTTTCATTTGTTCAACATTCAGATGCCCTCCAAGTTTTGGACTTTCTAACCCCCAAGCACATCCTGTCCAGGGATATAATAAAGACTTGTAAAACATATTTCCCCAATTATATTACCGGTAGCACTTTCATTAAAAATACATCTATATACACAATCACATCCCCCTTTTAGATAAAGGAAGCACTCCTTTGCTGATAATACATA